GTTTAAATAAATGAAGTATTGACTTTAATACACTGATATACATTCCATTAAACAATACTAAATACTAGATCACCTACACATCAGTGAAGTTGAGGGGTTTTTCCATGCAAAGGGTTACATTTAGATGTTAACAAGCAATATGACTGTCAGCTTTCTAATTGAAGGTATTGAAGGCAAAGCTATTAGTGACAACTGCTATTTATCTTTGTCTGTAAAAAACGTGGTAAAAGTTATGATTTCAGTGAGAGAACAGAGCAAGCTTCTACAGTTGCACTAAGTTTTGATAACAGTTAAATATTATTTTGATAATAAAATATATTTCAATGTTGATGAATGTCATACTGTTCATTCATAATCTGATTGTCTTTGTAGCTCACTGTTGAAATAAAATAAAACATTACAATTACAAAATAATTATATCTACAGCCCCTAAACACAAGCACACCTCTTTCATAAATAACACACTTGTTCTGCAATAATATGCTTTATGTTTCCTGTAATTTTTGTTAGGAAAGGACATGCCTGAAAGACACGATTCAGCATCTCCTCTTTCTCTGAGGGTCAAGAAGAACATCCAAGAGGAAAATTAAAAGCTGATGTTATGAGATTTTAAGACCAGTACAGGACATTCACTAAGAAACTACTTTTATTGTGAAGTCAGCTGATCGAATGCACCTATTTCCACATCTACACTCCATCAGCTGATTAATTCTATTTGCCTCACTTTATGAGCTTCACAACATGTACCTTGTACCGCAGAGTTTGCAACGCAAATAAATGGGGCCAATCTTCAGTCGGATGTGAATGTGTAATCTAACATTTTCAGTAAGAATAATGGACAAAAGGAGTGCAAATACAAATTCAATTTATTGAAATCTGAACCAAAAGTTAATCAAACATGTTTTAAATAAAAAAGCACATATGGACAGAAGGTGTAAACCTATTAAATGTATAAGTAAACACATTTAGTCAAATAAAGTGACAGACAAGGCCTGTGCAGTTGGTATCAGCTATGCCCAGCATGGGCTCCTCCATCAGGCCTGGTCCTTCTCGCAGAGGAACGACCCTCAGTCCTCTCCAAACCAACAGACTGGACGTCCATCACACGGAGGTTTCTCCCTGGAGTCTCTGCAGCTCTCTGGACACCACGCTGTCTCAATCCGTCCACACTGAATATGAGAGGGGAAAATGAAAATAATAAATGCTTTAGACAATAAGAAATATAAAGTTGACTGTTGAGTTGCTCAGTTTTTTTAGATTGTCAATACTATTACTGTATAACTAATATCTCAGGTTAAGAGGCACCTTCAAATAAAGATTGGTCTTTAAATACATTTTGTCTTTTGAATTGTTTGTCTAAAGTCAAGGATCTAGAACTGGTACTTATAGTTTTAATGATACAGTCTGGTTATAATGCGGTTTGGAGGAGGCCTCACAGGTAAGAGCACTAACTAGCTACCATCACATGCACCTTAGCTTAACTTAAATGTATTAAACGTATAATTAAGTGATAGCAAAATATAAATAACTAATGTCATGCAAACATATTAATATTTGCTTGATTCCAGTGTTGCATTTAGCACATTGCATACAAACGTTAAGGGATTTTAAGATTCTGAAGTATTATGCTAAAAAGTCAATAACTTAGATTATTATTTATAGTTTTGCTGAATAGTTTCATGTCCGCTTACCTTAGAAACGTAAAATGTGACGGCAGTGTGCAGATGGGAAAGCATGTTAGCTTAGCTTCTTAGCTTGAGCTAGCTCTGTTACTTCCCAGCTGGAGGCAGAAGGTCCCGCCTCGGCTCCGCCTCTTTGCCCTTATTTGGAGCAGGCTGGAGCAGGCGGGAGTTAGACTCAGACGTCACTGTCGAGCCGTTAGTGGCCGACTCCGCCTACTAAGGGCTTCTCGGCAACTCTGCAGAATCCTATGGGTGACGTCACGGACCCTACGTCCATTTATATATACAGTCTATGATATAATCACTGCCTTTGAGATGCAATAGGTTTATGCAATAGAGAGTAAAATATTTTGAATGCGCTATAAGCCAAACATTTAAAACAACATTAGTGAGCTTATCTCACTTCTTTTCTGAAATCGACGAGGAAATCCTTCACTGAGAAAACATGATTTAAAATGATTGACAACCTTTCAAATCATCCACTGACTCATTAACCGCGTTCACACCGGAGTACTTTCACCGTACTTTTCGCGTTTTAGTTCCGTGAGTACCCCTTATGTCGCGTTCACACCAAAAATCGTACTTAATCTCGGGTACTTTTACCCCCATTTTTAGAGCCAGCTCAGAGAGCGTACTTTTCTGTGGGTGAAAAGTGCTCCAAAAGTTCCCCAGTGCTGATTGGCTGGGCGAATTGCAAACCACGCCCATACAACTCTGAAAATGTTGTGTGGGGACGCCATTGTTTTTCCTCGCTACAAAAACACAACGCTCCGTGCGTTGTGTTTGTTTTTGAAAGCAGTTATGGCAAGCATCAAGAAATGATGAGGAGGTGTCGGCGCTTCTGGAGATCTACGCCGAGGAGGCGACCCAGGGAATGCTACTGAAGCCAGTTCGGTAGCTTTCACTCGACCTGGGAATTGTGCACAGCCGGCTAAATATAAAGAAACTCAGGACCACGATGAAGGTAAAATCAACTACATGCACTGGGGTTTTAATCTGCACAATAATGGTCTCAGATGTACTTTTATTTGCTCAGTAGATCAAGCTAGCCATGCTAGCCATAATAGGCTAACACCGGCCCCGGCTAGCTACATCTAGCTAGCTAGATATTCTCCGCTGTATGAAAACGTTTTGACTTGTGAATAACTGTGCAGTGTTTCTGTAATTTGCTTCACTAACTCATGGCACTAATCGTCTGTTTCAGGCGAGGATGGACAACTCTCGGGATTGGAAACAAGTGAGCTTTGCATTCTAGATCACAGCGCTTTGTCGTCCTCCTTACCAGCAACCAAACGCAAAGGTACACACACTGTAACTTTGTCTTGAAAGAACGTTACGCATCGAACTGATGTTCACAATCATGTTTATTTCATAATATTCATCATATTTTATGTTTAACTTGCCTCAACAACATTAAACAAAGTTCAAGCATACATGAAGCACTCTTCAAAAAGGAACAATCCTCCGTGTTTGAACCTCTTAAATCGCTGCATAGCCGATTTATTTGGACTGGATTATCCCAGAGAGGCCAAACATTCTTTATAACACAGTTTCAGATTTGTGAAACCTTAATTCTATTTGTGAAAATACAAAAAACACATTCCTAGTATGTTGTAAAACTACATGGCGACTAAACTTGTATATTGTATATTGCTTATTTTCCCCTCTTAGGAAAGCGGACACGGGATGCGAATTTCTTTGACACCGCCCAGGCGTTGGAGGACCGGCGTGCCGTGGTGAATGAGTCGCTGCGTGGAGATCAGATGGTGCTGTTCACCAAGGCCCAGGAAACGGAGGACAAGATGTTCACCTCGATGGAGCGCCAGGCAGCAGATGGAGCGCCAGCAGCACCAGGATGAAGTGTGGGCGCTGCGCCATGAGGAAGCGTCGGCGCAGCGGCAGGATGAGCGACAAACTGCATTTAATAACAGTTTATTTGGTATAGTTTTTGTAAATACTGACACACGACACACAACGTTGCACTAAGGTGTGCATGCTGCTGAGAATATCCCTACACCTGGGACAGTTTATTTTATATTGTTATTACTGTTATGACTTTATTTTATATATAATGTTTACTGACATGTACAACTGACACTTTATTTACATTTAAAATTGTTCTATTTAACGTTATGTCTTGAGAGTGCAATAAAGAAAACCGACATGGCGATTAAGCTTATTTCTCCTGACACTTTATCTTTTGTGACCTGTGTAGCATCCTATACATCACATGTAAGTGATTATTCTGATACCATCATGTTTCATCGGTTATAAACTGGCAAAGCTTTATTTGTCATTTATTTATCATCAATGTTGCAACCTTGTGGGGGAATGGCAGGGGCACATACACAAATATGACAATTTATATAATTTTAAATATTATTTGACCTAAACTTTTAATTCCCCCCATTTCACACAACACAACATGGAGTCCACTATGGGCCAAAACTAACATGTATGTTTGCATAGTGTTTATGGCAGACGGATGCAGTGGGTCTCAGGAAGATATATATATATATATATATATCATTAAGGTGGGTTTGCTGCTGAGACTCCCTACAGCTGGGAGTTTATTTTATATTGTTATTATATAGTACAACTGACACTTTATTTTATATTGACAATGTTTACTGACATGTACAACTGACACTTTAGTTACATTTAAAATATTTCTATTTAATGTTATGTCTTGAGAGTGCAATAAAGAAAACCGACATGGCGATTAAACAGATCCTGTATCAGTTTTTCTTCTTCTCTTGTTTTGTAGCGGGTTGCAAACAACTTTAAGATGCTTACCGCCACCTACTGTACTTGTAATCTTCCCTCAGGGAAAAGTACTCCGGTGTGAACGCGATCTGTACTAAGTACCCTGGGGTTAAAAGCGCCAGGGCTCTTAGTGCCGGAACTAAGTACAGGAAAGTACTTGGTGTGAACGCGGCTATTGGGCCCTGTGTGGAAGAATGGGTTTTCCTTAACCAAACAACAATGTTTTGGGACAAACATCCACTTGAGTACAAAAATAAAAAGATTTGAAATGACACACGACGGATTCAAAATCAGACTATGGACAATTGCCATGGGATTAAAATGATTAATGATACAGATATGACATTTTGGACCGCCATGGATGTAAACTGACACTGTTGTGGAGGCATACAACCGCAATACAGTAAATCTAGTTTTGGATATACAATCTAAAAGTTAATCTTGGTGATAGAAATAAGAAGAGACTCAGTCTCCAATCTTGGATGTGTATCACACACATAACCGACAGCCTATCCTGCATACACTCTAAGATATCTCCTTTAAACTTTACAGGTAGAAAGCATGGGGGCTCAGAAGATACTTCTTGAAACATTGAATGATTTGAGTTCAGATGAGCTTAACCAATTCAAGTCACTCATTGAATTAGAGGAAAGTTTCCCACGGATCCTAAGGGGTCGACTCAAAGTGGCAAACACAGATGAAATAGTGGATCTGATGGTGAAGACGTTCAGCGGAAAGTGTGTGAATATGAACAACACGGTTTTAAAGAAGATGAACAGGACTGATCTGGTGCAGAGATTGTCAGACATCAGCTCAGGAACCAAAGGTAAGAGAAAACAGACAGAAATATGTGAAAATATACATTTCTATTTCATAAAAATATATTTTATGTATATTCCGATACCAAATGTATCTTAAGCCATTGAACAGTATTAGAATATCTTTAAGTGGATATATAAATAATTATATTGTCACTGTGGAGGAGGTTAGTGTGTCACATTGGGATGAAATAAATGAAATGGGCCTTTTCCTTTTTTTTTTGTATCCTCAGAGGAACCGCTTCCTTCTCTGATCCAGAGCGTGAGTAAAGTCCCATCAATTTCACACAGTGATCTTTGACTCAGTAGATTAAGAAGACTGTTAATAATCTTCATCCTGAACTTCATTTTTTTGTCCCAGATAGAAATATTAAAGAAATAATCTGATCGTGCCAAATGAGGTACACATACGTTCTTAGCCATTAACATTATGTATATAGTATTTGTTCAAATACACAGAAAAGATGAAACTGGTTAAACAGCCACTCTGTTGTAAAATCAAGAGGCTTATCGCAGTTTTTCTACCACAGCCTTTGAAAGAGTTACCTAGGAAGTCAAATAAAGTCATGATTCAGTTTTGTGATGAATTGGATAAACAATAATAATTGCACTGATACGTTGTGCGTGACATGGCTGATGTTCTCTTACCATATCCACTATTTTTAAAACACTGAAACTGACGAGATGTAAACAAAAAAAAATCTGTAATCATTCCAGCTGAGAAATTGCTCTTTTGCCCCATTAACATCTCCTTTGATTTTACCAGGTGGAAACGATGGCGTCTGTCATAGAGCTGCTTCTGGAAACACTGAAAGATTTGAGGGACCAGGATTTAGAGAGTTTTCAGAGGGTCCTGAGTCAAATTCAGTCTGACAATGGCTACCCACACATCTCACTAAGCTGGCACATGATGAGAGACAGGCAGGACATGGTGTTTTATTTGGTTCAAAATCACAGCGAGCACAGACTGCTGGAGATGACCACTAAGGCTTTTGAGAAGATGAACAGGACTGATCTGGTGCAGAGGCTGTCACAAAGCAGCTCAGGACCCAAAAGTAAGACTAATGAAACACAAACATCTTTAAATCATCAAACCTGTTTATCCTAAGTTAATAAGCTCTGTATTCTACTTTTTAAGTTATAAATATAGATGAAACCTATATTTATAATGTATTTATATCCTAGTGAACAAAATATGTTTCATGACTAATCAGAACAATGATTAATATTTTGTGAGAGGGTAAAATGAATTGAGTTGGTTTATCTCCACCTCTTTTCTCTTCAGAGAAACACTCAGAGGCACAGCGACCTGCAGTGATCCAGAAAGTAAGTAATGTCACATCTGTCTGACTTTCAACAACACACCTTTCCTTCAACATATAATGATATGACCCAAACACATGATTGACTTATCTATGATGGTCTGTCTGTCTGTCTGTCTGTCTGTCTGTCTGTCTGTCTGTCTGTCTGTCTGTCTGTCTGTCTGTCTGTCTGTCTGTCTGTCTGTCTGTCTGTCTGTCTGTCTGTCTGTCTGTCTGTCTGTCTGTCTGTGTCTGTCTGTCTGTCAAACCCAACAACAACTAACCAGTTTATAGCAAATAGACACATTTGTAATTGTCCAAGAGGAATCTACACATGTCTGATGAATGTATTGATTATTTCAGGTAGCAACAATGGCAGCTGTTAAACATCTGCTTTTGGAAACTCTGAATGATTTGAGAAACGAGGATCTAGAGAAATTCAAGCAGTACCTGGATTTAATTGTTACCATGAAAAAACAAATACACATGTCATGGGAGTTGAGTTCCTCACCAGGCAGAGCAAAAACAGTGGAACGGATGATGCAGATCTTCGGCCAACAGTGTATAGAGATAACCATGGAGGTTTTGAAGGACATTAACAGGACTGATCTGAGGCAGAGGTTGACAAATCCCAGCTCAGAACTCAAAGGTAATCATAAAGAAAACCAAATAACTTCACATCACATAGATTTTAACAACAGACCAGACTCTCAACAAGAAACAGAATGTTTTACGTTGAAGTAGTTTAGTTTTGTTGCTGGGATCTTGTGTGTTAGACATTCACTTTATTTTCTCTCTTCAGAGATGTACTCTGTGGATGAACATCGACCTGCACAGTCCGAGGGAGTGAGTCTGACTTTATACATCACAGCTTTCATTCAATAGATGCAAGTTGTTAACCATATCCATCTTGAACTTAAACATTATGATGCAAACCAAACCATGTTTAAGGTTGATCTCTTCTGTCAAAATGATTTTTCTTCCACTGATGTTCTGATCAGATTAGCAGACTGAAGTCTGAACACTCATATACAAATGTGCATTAGTCAAGAAAAAAGCTAAACATATTTAATAGAACAGATGTTAGTGTGTCTTTGACTTGAGAGATCTTGTAAACATTTTATAAAATCCTCTTGTCTGAAACACTGACTGACAAAATGAAAACAAAGTAATATTCATTTCCATAGAGAAATAACACCTTTTCTTACTCATCCGTCAAATTTTTCAGGCACCAATTGCAGCAGAGAAACCGATCCTTTTGAAAACTCTTAAGGATTTGAGTGACGATGAGCGCTACAGATTTCAGTGTTTCCTGCAGTTAACGTACTTCCAGAAGAGCATATCCTACTTCCGTTATGGATATCCCTATCGGACAGAAAGTGCACTCCGTCTAGTGGATCAGATGGTGGAGACCTGTGGTCCGCAGTCTGTGGAGGTGACCAGGGAGGTTTTAATGGACCTGAACAGAACTGATCTAGTGGAGAGATTATCAGAGACTATCTTAAGACTCAAAGGTAAGAGAAAGAAAACAAAAACTGCTACATCACACAGAAGAGTTCATAGTCATGAGTTTTGTAATTGTTGCAATGCTTTTGTATTTGAGTTTTAGATTTTAAGGAAAAGTTCACATACAAAATGACCAGTTGTTCTGTATTACAATTGCTCACCCTGAGTTCTCTATAATTCTTGAAGACATCTGTTTTCTTGCATGCATCCGCTGTGAGTAACAAATAAAGAAATGGAGATCGTCTTCATGAATTGAAGTAAATGGGGGCGTGTTTAATAACAGTTCAGCTTTATCAAAAATACCTAACTTCTAAAACACTTTGTCATCAACAGTCTCATACTTGCACGTGGAGTACCCGTCTGTGCATTGAAATGTATAAAACAGGAAGGTTTAGTGAAAATGCATGTTTTAAGGAAGTAGTGAGCTCGTGCCAGGATAAATGAGACTTGGAATCTACTGCACGAGTTGTGTGACAGTTTGTAAATAGATGTTTTATATAGTTTTAGTTATACAGTAAATAAAGTCTTTCTGTTGTTAAACACAGCTCCCGATTAATCAATACTTTTTTCTGTTTTGTTTCTTGAAGAATTAAAGGTAACAAGGCAGGAGTCATTTCTATTTAAAGGTCATTTTGTGGGTGTAGTGTTCCTTTAATGGGTGTTAATAATATGTCAAATCTCTCACTCTTTGTGATTGATTTTAATGATGCCAGCATGAACCATATTTGAGTGTTATTTTGCAGTTTAATTATTCATATTACGTTATTTTTTTCAAAAGTAACAAAATCTGACTAAAGTTGTCCATAGTCTGATTTTGAATCAGTCGTGTGTCATTTTGTCTCCTCAGAGGAACCGCTTCCTTCACTGATCCAGAGAGTGAGTAATGTCCCATCACTCTGACTCCACCCAGTGCAGCTTTGACTCAGTAGATTTAGAAGACTGAAAATAATCTCCATCCTGAACATTATTCATGATACAAACAATTTTTGGTCTCGGATAGTTTTCTTACAGAGATAATCTGATCACGCCAAGTTAGGTACACATACTGTATGTTCTCAGGCATCAATGTAATTTATGAATAGTGTTAATAATTTGTGTTACGTCTGTCTGGAGGGGAAATGATAGCACATTCTTCATGAGTTGTTCTTCTAACATTCAGAAAGAGAAATTCACAATACTGATGCAAAAATATAGATAGTGATTCTTACTCTTTTATACCAAAATAAAAACATGCAACTGGTTAAACTGCCACTCAGTTGTTAAATCAAGACGCCTGACGTAATGTTTCTACCACAGCCTTTGAAAGAGTTACCTAGGAGGTCAAATAAAGTCATGAATCAAACACGCTGTTTATACAAAAAGAAAAATGTTTTTGTGATGAATTGGATGAACAATATAAAGTGTACTGATACGTTGTGCGTGACATGGCTGATGTTCTCTTACCATATCCACTATTTTTAAAACACTGAAACTGACGAGATGTAAACAAAAAATAATCTGTAATCATTCCAGCTGAGAAATTGCTCTTTTGCCCCATTAACATCTCCTTTGATTTTACCAGGTGGAAACGATGGCGTCTGTCATAGAGCTGCTTCTGGAAACACTGAAAGATTTGAGTGACCAGGATTTACAGAGTTTTCAGAGGGTCCTGAAACAAATTCAGTCTGACAAAGGCAACCCAGACATTTTACTAAGCTGGCACAGGATGAGAGACAGGCAGGACATGGTGTTTTCTTTGGTGCAAAATCACGGCGATCACAGACTGCTGGAGATGACCACTGAGGCTTTTGAGAAGATGAACAGGACTGATCTGGTGCAGAGGCTGTCACAAAGCAGCTCAGGACCCAAAAGTAAGACTAATAAAACACAAACCTCTTTAAATCATCAAACCTGTTTATCCCAAGTTAATAAGCTCTGTATTCTTCTTTAGATGAAACATAATATAATGTTTTTATATCCTAGTGTATAAAATGTTTTTTATGACTAATCAGAACAATGATTAATATTTTGGGAGAGGGTAAAATGAATTGAGTTGGTTTATCTCCACCTCTTTTCTCTTCAGAGAAACACTCAGAGGCACAGCGACCTGCAGTGATCCAGAAAGTAAGTAATGTCACATCTGTCTGACTTTCTACAACACACCTTTCCTTCAACAGATAATGATATGACCCAAACACATGATCGACATATCTATGATGATCTGTCTGTCTGTCTGTCTGTCTGTCTGTCTGTCTGTCTGTCTGTCTGTTTGTCAAAACAACAACAACTAACCAGTTCATAAGAGTTAAAGGGAAAACATTAAAAGGGATGAGATGCAAATAGACACATTTGTAATTGTCCAAGAGCAATATACACATGTCTAATGAATGTATTGATTATTTCAGGTAGCAGCAATGGCAGCTGTTAAACATCTGCTTTTGGAAACTCTGAATGATTTGAGAAACGAGGATCTAGAGAAATTCAAGCAGTCTCTGGATTTAATTGTCTCCAAGAAGAAGCTGAGATATTCTTCATGGATTTTGAGTTCCTCAGCAGGCAGAGCTCAAACAGTGAAACGGATAATGCGGTTCTTCGGCCAACAGTGTGTAGAGATAACCATGGAGGTTTTGAAGGACATTAACAGGACTGATCTGAGGCAGAGGGTTACAAACTTAGAATTCAAAGGTAAGACAAAGACAAAAAAAAAACTCACATCGCATACATTTTATATTTCATTATAAAAAATAATCTGTAGTCATTAACAATATGAAGTATATAAAAAACATGGGACAGGAATCTATAGAAACATTAAAGAAATCATTAAAATACCATCAAATGCCACAGGCACATAGTCTCAACAAGAAACAGAATGTTTTACGTTGAAGTAGTTTAGTTTAGTTGCTGGGATCTTGTGTGTTAGACATTCACTTTATTTTCTCTCTTCAGAGATGTACTCTGTGGATGAACATCGACCTACACAGTCCGAGGGAGTGAGTCTGACTTTACACATCACAGCTTTCATTCAATAGATGCAAGTTGTTAACCATATCGGGGGGTTACGTATTGTAACCCTAGTTATATAAGCACAGGCGGGGCCCTCTACTGGACTCTATGGGTACTACCTTATCCCGCGTGCATTCTCCCACTGAGACTTCTATAGACGTAGCCGGCCCAGGGCGGGCCTACCTGAATACGCGCGCATCACACCGTATAAAAGGAGGCCTCGCCTCCTGACTATCATCCTATACCTCTCTTCAGCGAGCGGAATAGAACAGACAGTGCCCTGAGTAGAGGGCTCCGCCTGTGCTTATATAACTAGGGTTACAATACGTAACCCCCCGTTATATCTCTCACAGGCTCCGCCCTCTACTGGACTCTATGGGTACAGTGGGTGGAGCCCTGATGTATACGCGCACTGTCGTCCAACACCATTCCACCCTACTGCCCCTGACCGGCTTTTCTGTTCAGCAGCTGCTGCCCCACACTCTCCCTTAATCCGGTTGTGACCGAGGAGAAATCTGGGCTGCGGCTGACAGAGCACACCCTGCTGCGCTTACCACGCAGAAAGTGTGCTCAAAGAACAGCCCATAGACGGGTGGGGAGAGCCCCCTCGGCCCCGTATGGGCTTGCTACGCACCTGCCTTCCTGAATCCCTAAGGATAACAGGGAGAGCGCCAGCGCCCATGCCTCACACTCAAGCACTGACCCCGTGCAGAGTGTGAGAGGACTACAAATGTGGGGGGGCTACCCCCCTCCGCCCGTAACGGGCCAGCGCGCCCCCTAGGTGAAGGCGCATCACGGAGGGGGTCAGATGCCAACTGACCCACAACCCCCCCCCCCCCCCCCCCCCCCCCCCCCTACAAATCCTGTGTTGCCCCAGCAAGCACAGACGAGGAGAAAGAGCCAGACATGTCCAAGAGATAAAACCTTATAAAGGGGCCTTGCGTCGACCAAGACGCCGCTGTGCATAAATCCTCCACACTGTTGAATAAGGCTGTTGACACAGCTACAGCCCGTGTGGAGTGCGCACGAATCCCCGTGGGGCAGGCTCTCCCTGCCTGTCCGTAGGCATGTGCAATGCACTCGCAGAGCCAGCCTGCCAGGCGTTTCTTGGACAGAGCTTTCCCGATCACCCCGCCCCCGAAGCACACGAACAGCTGTTCGGTGCGTCTAAGGGCAGCCGTGCGCTCCACATAACATGCTAGCGCACGCACCGGGCAGAGGAGGTGCAGTTTAGCCTCCCTGGCCCCCCATGGGGGGGAGACTAAAACCCCCTAACTGAATAGCCCTCGACCTGAACGCACTCCTTAGGTCTTTAGGCACAAAGGAGGGGTTCGGTCTAAGTGTTGCGCCGCTCCGGCCACCCCGAACTAGTAAACAACTCGGGTGCACCGACAGAGCAGTTAACTCGGACACTCTTTTGGCTGACGTTAAGGCAAGAAGCAAAGCTGTTTTCCACGACAATGCTTTCAGAGGGGAGAGCTCCAGAGGCTCAATGGTCCCGAGACCAGAGCCTCGAGCACTAGGGGCAGGTCCCACTGCGGAGTGTAGACGTGCACTACAGGGCGCAGTCTCCTAACCCCCTGTAAAAACCGCAACATCAGTGGTTGATTAAAGGCTGACCTGCCACCAAAATCCCTCATGACAGGACGAGATGGCTGCTGCATACACTTTCACCGTGGAATGCGCCAGCCCTCTGTCCACCAGTAAGTGTAAGAAAAATAGAGCCCAACTCACAAGATAGGGGCTCTATTCCCCGCTCCTCACACCAATGCTGGAATCTCAGCCACTTTGGCCTGTAACAGGCTGTGGTGGATACTGCTCTAGCTGCCTGGATAGACTGAATAACGCTGTCAGACAATCCACCCTGTCTCAGCCTGTCCCTCTCAGGAGCCAAGCCTGAAGAGGACGGCCCAGAGTGGGTAACGCCCCGATTGCACCTGCCCCTAGAGACATCGCCCCCCAGAACTGGGGGATCGCTGGCCCACCTTCATCCGTGTCATTTCTGAGTACCACGGAGCCCCGACGCGATTCGGTGCTACCAGAATGACTGCCAGACGTTCTCGCCTCACTCTGTGTCGAAACTCTGTCAGAGCCCAGCGCCCACCTATAGCTCTCTTCAGGCAGGTCCCTCCCCATCCTGTTCCGGACACGTCCGTGAACACTGTGATGTAGGAGGTCACCCGTCCCAGTGGAGACCCCCTCCGGAGGTGGTCCGGAGACCCCCAAAACCGGAGGTTGCCCCCACTGAGGGGGGGAGGGATGGTCACCAGCCGTCGTTTGTGCCTCCAAACGCAGGCTGGGGAACCACCTCTGCAGGCGGCGCATATGTAGTAACTGGCGGGACCACCATGTGAGCAGCCGCCATGAGACCCAGAGTCTGCATGACAGTTAAAGCTGTCACTGTTGGCCCCTGTCGCAGCCTGTGCACCGCCCTGAGAAGGGGCGCACGTCTGCTCTCTGACAGGGTGGCACGCAGCGCGTCTGCATCGAGCACCACACCCAAATACAACGCCTGTTGGCGAGGTATGGGGGTGCTCCTTTTTCCCAATCGATCGCAAAACCTAATTTGGTTACGTGTGTGATCAACTGTGCTGTGCAAAACATTGCCTGTTCCCGGGACCCAGCCATGACTATGAGGTCGTCTATGTAAAAGAAAACTCTCATGCCGTGTGCGTGCAGCGGTTGAGGCGCTGTGGCCACACATTTGCTGAATGTGCGTGGGGATAGGGAATAACCGAACGGCAGCCTGTTGTATTCGTAGGCTATTCCCTGGAAGGCAAAACGCAGATACTTTCTGTGCTCTGGAACAATTTCCACATGAAAGTACGCGTCTTTCAGGTCGATGGTGGTGAACCAATCGCCTGGCTGCACAAGCCCTAGTAACTGTTTCACAGTTAACATGCGGAATTTCCTGCTGGAAATATGACGATTCAGGCCCCGGAGATCTAGAATAGGTCTGAATTCCCCTGTTTTCTTTAGAACCAGGAAATACATGGAATAAAGACCCTTCTCTCTGTGCTGAGGATGCACAACAGACACAGCCTGTTTCTGCACCAGAGCCGTTTTTCTATAATGCAGTTTCCACTCAGAGAAAAAAATGGCAGATTTTTCACTGAGGTCCCTGAACGCACCACGGCACGCTCCCGTGGGAGCCTGCGCTCCGCCATAATGCTGTTTCCTCTTAGAGAGAAAGAGGCATTAATCAGAGCTTCTTCTGTCCATGAACGCACCGCGGCCGCTCTCGGGGGGGGGGGGGGCGCGCGTCGTCATAATGCTATTTTCCTCACTATGGAAAACAGCATTAACCGGAGTTTTTACAGGCGTAGTGTGTTTTACTAAGGCCCCTGAACGCACCGCCACGCGCCTCTTTACAAGTGCGGGCGTTGCTATAATGCAGCCCCTATCACTATAGTAAACAGCATTATTTGGAGTCTTAGCTTCAGGCATAGAATGTTTTCTAACAGAAAAACGTCGGCCATAATGTCCCTGTACCCGCACCGCACTATAACAGTGCTGCCTGCGGTTTATCACTCTCACCTGCGCACTCCCACTAGCCTCCTCCCTAACGGGAGCTATAGCTGGGGCGGCGAGTGGGGAATTTGTACAGTCATCAACATGTGCAAGTGTATTGTGGAAACAAAGGACACTCAGACTTGGATACAGATCAACACCATCTTTATTTTAAAAGTTTTGACGGGGATCTGGGCATTAAATAGGCAGTTAACGCGAAGATGGAGCTCCCCACCCGGGTGCTCTGCTGTTGCGGAGCCTGCCTCGGTCGGGCAGCCCTTCCCCGTGATTGCCGGTATGCCGGTGCCACGGGGTGGGCCGTAGAGGTGGAGGGCGCTGCAGCTACGGGACCCCCGTGCCGGCGCCTCTCCCTCCGCTTCACTGTCGCACTACGCTCCCTCCCCTGCATGGCAACGCGAGGGGGGCACGTAGCGGGGCCTGAGGAGGAGCCAGCGATAGCATGCGGCTAAGCTGGACTCTCTCCTCCTCTAGGCGGCTGAAGCGATGGGTGACCGAGGAGACCGACCCAAAGAGCCCCTCCGTGGACACGGGGGCTCCGAGGAGATCTTCTTGGTCCTTTTTAGATAGGGCCGTGAGCCCTGGCCACACGTGACGAGACGCCACTGTGGCCAGGGAAATCATCCGCCCTGCTGCGGTGGCCACGCCATAAATCAGGTTACTCATCTGACTAACAGCGTGGTCCGAATAATCGCTCTCGTCCTGAGACGGGAGGGCGGGGGCGTCTGCCTGAGGGGTGATCAGGAAGAAGCCAACACGCCAAGATTATCGGCCGCAGCCGCCATCTGCGTACCGAGCTTGAACAACTTGAGCTTGAACAATATCCAGATATTCCAGGTGTCTCGGTCCCGGGGCAGCGGGGGCAGAGGACATTTACCCTCCGCCCAACCAGCTGCGGAAGCAGATGGGCCGCCAGGCTCTCATCGAGGGGGGGGGCACACCTGGACATGTCGTGTCCGAGCGATCCACCACCTTAACGATACCTGCCATGGCGGCTATCGGGGCCTTCGTTTTAAATGGCTGCTGCCATGTCGCCTCCACACACCGCCATACCTCTGGCAGCTGGGGCGAAACGAAGGTCGGCTGCGCCGGACGCACCGGGCCGTAAATCTCAGGAGGTTTACAGGCCTCGGTGGCAGCGGTGGGGGGAGCGGTAAGCCTACACGCTCCGCCACCAGAGTCATCACCGCCGGGAAATCGATCCGTGCAGACTTGAGAGTTGGACCTCCGGTCAGCGAGGCGTCCTCCTCGTCCCCCATCGGAAGAACCGGGAGACGTCACCCTCGCTCCCCCGAATCGCCTACGTCCACGACGTCGAGCTCCAGATCCACCGACTCCTCCTGCGGGGTAGCCCTCGCCAGGAAGTGCTGCCCACGATGCTCTCGTGTGAGCCGCGGGATCATCTGGCAGTCTGGGCATGTCAGCGTCGGGCCCATATTACCCACCGCGTGGTCAGGCCCCAAGGACGTGAAGCAGAAGGGTAATTAGATTCGGGCATTTCGGGTAGGTCCTACACTTTACTCTCTCTTTCTCAATCGTCTCGAAGCTCGTGGAATCACTTCCGCTGCTGAAGAGAAAAAGGATGATAGTCAGGAGGCGAGGCCTCCTTTTATACGGTGTGATGCGCGCGCATTCAGGTAGGCCCGCCCTGGGCCGGCTACGTCTATAGAAGTCTCAGTGGGAGAATGCACGCGGGATAAGGTAGTACCCATACAGTCCAGTAGAGGGCGGAGCCTGTGAGAGATATAACCATTTTGAACATAAACATTATGATGCAAACCAAACCGTTTTGAAGGTTGATCTCTTCTGTGAAAAGGATTTTTCTTCCACTGATGTTCTGATCAGACTGAAGTCTGAACACTCATATACAAATGTGCATTAGTCAAGAAAAAATATAAACATATTTTATATAACAGATGTTAGTGTGTCTTTAACTTGAGAGATCTTGTAAACATTTTATAAAATCCTCTTGTCTGAAACACTGACTGATGAAATGAAAACAAAGTAATATTAGAGAAATCACACATTTTCTTACACATCTGTTGAATTTTTCAGGTGCAAATTGCAGCAGAGAAAGAGATCCTTTTGAAAACTCTTAAGGATTTGAGTGATCATGAGCTCCACAAATGTCAGTGTTTGCTGCCGTTCACGTTCTTCCAGAAGAGCATATCCTACTCCTTTCATGGATATCCCTATTGGACAGAAAGTGCACTCCAACTGGTGGATCAGATGGTGGAGACCTGTGGTCCGCAGTCTGTGGAGGTGACCAGGGAGGTTTTAATGGACCTGGACAGAACTGATCTAGTGGAGAGATTATCAGAGACTATCTTAAGACTCAAAGGTAAGAGAAAGAAAACAAAAACTGCTACATCACACAGAAGAGTTCATAGTCATGAGTTTTGTAATTGTTGCAATGCTTTTGTATTTGAGTTTTTTAGATTTTAAGGAATAGTTCACCTACTAAATAACCAGTTGTTCTGGATTACAATTACTCACCCAGAGTTCTCCATAATTGTTGAAGACATCTGTTTTCTTGCATGCCTCCACTGTGAGTAACAAATACAAAAATGGAGATCGTCTTCATTAATTGAAGTAAATGGGGGCGCACTCTGCACTGGTGGTTGGTGGTTTGCTCCGCACAAGAAAGCGCTCCATTTTCCCTCTTGCGTGTTTCTCTGTTTTAATGTTGTCCTTCAGCCTTCGATGTGTCACGGTCTTATAATTCCCACCTGCAACTGCGTTAACAGCGAAATATGGAGTTCTGTGAGGATTTTTTTTTAAATAATTGTTTTTAGGTATAGAGTTTGCCTCTGTATTATGAAATGAGTGCATACAAAGTACTGATATAGTAAATTAAAAAATAATTATTTTTGTGTAGTTGTATATTGCAATAATAACGTATGGTTGTCACAAAATCCCACGGCACACCCGGACTTGCCTCACGGCACACCAGTGTGCCGCGGCACACCGTTTGGGAACCACTGTCCTATACTATATTATACAAATATAGCATGATAGGTCCACTTTAAGTTGGCGTGACGTTGAAGCAGCGACCCTGCTGTAGTTCGTTTATAGCATAACGTTAGCATTTTGCTTCTGGCGACTAGATTTATGATTAGAAAATTATAAAAGTAGGGTAGACATGTGGATATTATACGGCTGAACAAAACGTGCTCCGTCTCTTAAATGTGTGTCAACCACAGACCTTATTTCGAGCTATTTCCCAAAATCCTATGGAGAAATTGCATTGCGTTTTTGACGAAGGAACCGGAAGGAGTTTACATCCAGGTTTTAGGACGCGTCACTGCGGTAAAATCTACGTCACTTTACAGCCCCGCCCACTTTTGGGGAAACCAACGCTGTCATTTGAATGGCGATCAAGCCTGAAGCCACAGAGATCTTCTTTTACTGTCCTTTCTTCTTAGAGGAAGTACAGAAACAAGTAACTCTGGATTTGTTTTAATGTTTGAGGTGCAATAAACGACACAGCAGCTTTTTGGAATGTTAAAACTATTATGTTCTGCCTCGCTCATGAGAGTAACAGCTGGCGAAATTACAGCCTCGCCTACTGATTTTAATTTAATCATATATCAAGCCCGATCGTCGATTTCAAATGTGTGCTCTGAAATGATATTTATAAATGACTATTCTCATTATTATAAGCAAGACAATAAATGGCAAAGATATGTAGAAAATAAACGTATTTAAGATACGTTCATAACAAACGTAACGTGGGAGAAAATACGTTTCTAGCTAAACGTAATTGAGAATGCAGTTTAGTTCTGTGGGAACGTAATTTTTAGGAGACAGGGTTGCAAGGGAGGAGTCATTTCTATTAAAAGGTCATTTTGTGGATGTAGTGTTCCTTTAATGGGTGTTAATAATATAATGGCAAATCTCTCACTCTTTGTGATTGATTTTAATGATGCCAGCATGAACCATATTTGAGTGTTATTGTGCAAGGCAAGGCAAGTTTATTTATATAACACCTTTCAACACAAGGCAATTCAAAGTGCTTTACAAAAAATGAAAGACATTAAGAAAAATGTGCAGTTTAATTATTCATATTACGTATTTGTTTTCAAAAGTAACTCAATCTGACTAAAGTTGTTCATAGTCTGATTTTGAATCAGTCGTTTGCCATTTTTTCTCCTCAGAGGAACCGCTTCCTTCACTGATCCAGAGCGTGAGTAATGTCCCATCACTCTGACTCCACCCAGCGCAGCTTTGACTCAGTAGATTTAGAAGACTGAAAATAATCTCCATCCTGAACATTATTCATGATACAAACCTTTTTTGGTCTCAGATTGTTTTCTTACAGAAATAATCTGATCACGCCAAGTTAGGTACACATACTGTATGTTCTAAGGCATCAATGTTATTACGAATAGTGTTAATAATTTGTGTTACGTCTGTCTGGAGGGGAAATTATAGCACATTCTTCATGAGTTGTTTTTCTAATATTCAGAAAGAGAAATTCACAATACTGATGCAAAAATATAGATAGTGATTCTTACTCTTTTATACCAAAAACAAAAAGATGCAACTGGTTAAACTCCATCTCAGTTGTTAAATCAAATGTTTCTACCACAGCCATTGAAAGAGTTACCTAGGAGGTCAAATAAAGTCATGAATCAAACACGCCGTTTATACAAAAAGAAAATGCTTTTGTGATGAATTAGATGAACAATATAAAGTGTACTGATACATTGTGCGTGACATGGCTGATGTTCTCTTACCACATCCACTCTTTTAAAACACTGAAACTGACTAGTTGTAAACCAAAATAATCTGTAATCATTCCAGCTGAGAAATTGCTCTTTTGCCCATTAACATCTCCTTTGATTTTACCAGGTGGAAATGATGGCGTCTGTCATAGAGCTGCTTCTGGAAACACTGAAAGATTTGAGTGACCAGGATTTACAGAGTTTTCAGAGGGTTCTGAGTCAAATTCAGTCTGACAAAGGCTACCCAGACATCTCACCAAGGTGGCACATGATGAGAGACAGGCAGGACATGGTGTTTTATATGGTGCAAGATCACAGCCAGCACAGACTGCTGGAGATGACCACTGAGGCTTTTGAGAAGATGAACAGGACTGATCTGGTGCAGAGGCTGTCACAAAGCAGCTCAGGACCCAAAAGTAAGACTAATAAAACACAAACATCTTTAAATCATCAAACCTGTTTATCCTAAGTTAATAAGCTCTGTATTCTTCTTTAGATGAAACATAATATAATGTTTTTATATCCTAGTGTATAAAATGTTTTTTATGACTAATCAGAACAATGATTAATATTTTGGGAGAATGTAAAATGAATTGAGTTGGTTTATCTCCACCTCTTTTCTCTTCAGAGAAACACTCAGAGGCACAGCGACCTGCAGTGATCCAGAAAGTAAGTAATGTCACATCTGTCTGACTTTCTACAACACACCTTTCCTTCAACAGATAATGATATGACCCAAACACATGATTGACTTATCTATGATGATCTGTCTGTCTGTCTGTCTGTCTGTCTGTCTGTCTGTCTGTCCGTCTGTATGTCTGTCTGTCTGTCTGTCTGTCTGTCAAACCCAACAACAACTAACCAGTTTATAGCAAATAGACACATTTGTAATCGTCCAAGAGCAATATACACATGTCTGATGAATGTATTGATTATTTCAGGTAGCAACAATGGCAGCTGTTAAACATCTGCTTTTGGAAACTCTGAATGATTTGAGAAACGAGGATCTGGAGAAATTCAAGCAGACCCTGGATTTAATTGTCTCCAAGAAGAAGCTGAGATATGTTTCATGGATTTGGAGTCCCTCAACAGGCAGAGCACGGACAGTGGAACAGATGATGGGGATCTTCGGCCAACAGTGTGTAGAGATAACCATGGAGGTTTTGAAGGACATTAACAGGACTGATCTGAGGCAGAGGTTTACAAACTTAGAACTCAAAGGTAAGACAAAGAAAAAAAAATAACTCACATCACATACATTTTATATTTCATTATAAAAAATGATCTGTAGTCATTAACAATGTGAAGTATAAAAAAACATGGGACAGGAATCTATAGAAACATTAAAGAAATAATTAAAATACCATCAAAGGCCACAGGCACATAGTCTCAACAAGAAACAGAATGTTTTACGTTGAAGTAGTTTAGTTTAGTTGCTGGGATCTTGTGTGTTAGACATTCACTTTATTTTCTCTCTTCAGAGATGTACTCTGTGGATGAACATCGACCTGCACAGTCCGAGAGAGTGAGTCTGACTTTACACATCACAGCTTTCATTCAATAGATGCAAGTTGTTAACCATATCCATCTTGAACATAAACATTATGATGCAAACCAAACCATTTTTAAGGTTGATCTCTTCTGTGAAAATGATTTTTCTTCCACTGATGTTCTGATCAGATTAGCAGACTGAAGTCTGAACACTCATATACAAATGTGCATTTGTCAAGAACAAAGATAAACATATTTAATAGAACAGATGTTAGTGTGTCTTTGACTTGAGAGATCTTGTAAACCTTTTATAAAATCCTCTTGTCTGAAACACAGACTGAAGAAATGAAAACACACAAGTCATATTTATTTCCATAGAGAAATAACACCTTTTCTTACACATCTGTTTATTTGTTCAGGCACTAATTGCAGCAGAGAAAGAGATCCTTTTGAAAACTCTGAAGGATATGAGTGGCGATGAGCTCTACAGATTTCAGTGGTATCTGCAGTTCACGTACTTCCAGAAGAGCATATCCTACTCCTTTCATGAAAATCCCAATCAGACAGGAAGTGCACTCCAGCTAGTGGATCAGATGGTGGAGACCTGTGGTCCGCAGTCTGTGGAGGTGACCAGGGAGGTTTTAATGGACATGAAGACAAGTGATGTAGTGGAGAGATTATCGGAGACTATCTTAAGACTCAAAGGTAAGAGAAAGAAAACAAAAACTGCTACAGTACACACTCATCTGTGTATCATGGATGTGTAATCCTCTGTGGGACTAATAAAGGTATTCTGATTCTGATTAATACATATATTTTAGAATTCATAATCATGAGTTTTGTAATTGTTGCAATGCTTTTGTATTGGAGTGTTTTTGATTTAAAGGAAAAGTTCACCTACAAAATGACCAGTTGTTCTGTATTACAATTACTCACCCTGAGTTCTCTATAATTGTTGAAGACATCTGTTTTCTTGCATACCTCCACTGTGAGTAACAAATAAAAAGAATGGAGAAAGTCTTTATGAATTGAAGTAAATGGGGGGCGTGTTTAATAACAGTTCAGCTTGATCAAAACAACCTAACCTCTAAAACACTTCTGCATCAACAGTCTCATACTTGCACGTGGAGTACCCGTCTGTGCCTTGAAATGTATTAAACAGGAAGGTTTAGTGAAAATGCATGTTTTAAGGAAGTAGTGAGCTCGTGCCAGGATAAATGAGACTTGGATTCTACTGCACGAGTTGTGTGAGAGTTTGTAAATAGATGTTTTATATAGTTTTAGTTATACAGTTAATAAAGTTGTTCTCTTGTTAAACACAGCTCCCGATTAATCAATATTTTTTTCTGTTTTGTTTCTTGAAGAATTAAAGGTAACAAGGCAGGAGTCATTTCTATTTAAAGGTCATTTTGTGGGTGTAGTGTTCCTTTAATGGGTGTTAAATCAAAATACGATTAATTGCACAGCCCTATTTCAGGGCCAGTATACTGATACCAATACTTTTTTAAATGAAAAGCGTCTTATGTACTTTCATATAGGGGAGAGCTGCATGACATGATTTTTGAGCTGAAAGCATCATAAATAGACAAAATCTGAATTCATTCCCATGATTAAAGACAGGACAGTTTTTATAGACAAATAAACGTTTTACTTTTGCAAATGTAAAGTGCAAATATGAAAAATAACAATACAAAGTGGCCACAGTAGTGAACTGCCTTCTTGCACACATCACAGTTCGCTAAATGTTCATTGACAGTTGTGAAATTGCTCCACACAACGCTCCTCTTTCTCTCAGCCATCACGCGCGTGTGTGTCGCACTCGCGAGTCGCTGGCTGCTGCTGTCCTGCCGGCTGCTGTCAGTCAGCTTGATAATCGGCGTTCAGGCAGGGAGCGCGCCGCGCGTGCGCGAGCCTCGAGGAAAGGAGGACAGCAGTGGAGAGAGAAGAAAAGAGCGCATATACTTGTGTTTCTCTGCACTCTGCACATAGTTTGTGATGAAATTGACGAGTAGAGGAGAGGGGAAAAAGTTTAAAAGGATCGATCCTATTGGCTCTAGTATCGATATTTTGAAACGTAACGTGTTATCGGAAGTATCGATATTTTGGGATTGATCCGCCCACCCTTAGATGCTAGTACTTACTTTTGTACCATGTCTCAACGACTCACAAAGTCAGGCTTTCAAAAAGAAAGGAGAGAAAGAAAAGAGAGGGACTAAAAGGCGACAGTATGGCCCAATCCCAAACCACTCCCTCGACCCTACCCCTCCGTGGCGGAGTGAACTCCGTCTGTAGCCACACTCGCAGCTCAACGAGGCTCCCTCCTGTCAGATGGAGGGAGTAAATACAGCGGCAAGCTTTGGGACAAACTCCCCTCTCTCCGGCAGAAACAGGAAATGCCGTAACTGTATGTAACAACGGTTTCAAATCAGCATCTCTTTGACAAAAAATGTAAATTAAGAACTCAAATAAAACTCCAAACATCTTTCATTGTGTTACTTTTTTGTAAAGCTCTTTTAGTTTTAAACCTGATGTTTATAAGCTTCTTAGTTTTTGCAACAGTCTGTAAATATACACAACTTTATAATAAAATGCACACATTTACCTTTTTCTAGACTAAACACAGGTATGATCCTAAGTTAAAAAAATATGAGGTTATCATGAGGTTGTTAACATCGCAATTTATCAGTGGATGTTTGCTGGAACTACTTGTAAACAGCGTGTTTCCTGACGGACACACACAGCGTGACTCCGGTCAGGTAGAGACCAGTCTCAAGTCAGCACCAATGGAGACTCGCTGTTTGAGGGCTTGATAGCCCACTCCCCCTCCACACCTCTCCACACTCGTTGGTTTGGAACAGCACTTAATAGCCGCGTTCACACCAAGTACTTTCCTGTACTTAGTTCCGGCACTAAAGGCCCTTACACACCAGGCCGATATCGGCCGTCTTGCGTTGTTGGGCGAAAACGGGTTCCTTGTCGCCCAAATTCAATTTGGTGTGTCCCGAACCCTCGGCCGTGACACGCCTTATTTGGCCTTTCACGGTCGACACCCGGCCGATTCAACATGTTGAATCGGCCGGGTGTTGGACACAAGCTATCGGGCCAAGAAACCACTCTGATCAGCTGTTCAGCTTGCAAATGAGAAGCGAAACGGAAGTGAGGGACGTAAACAAACGATTTAAGGCACAAGACAGCAGCTAAACACCAGCAGGTGATACTTAAAGACATCAAACATAGCCCTTAAATGTCCTCTCTTACCTCCCACACATAGCAGGGACATCTCTGATATCGGCGGGAGCGTCCCCGGCTGTCCTCTGCTGAGAGCTCCGTGATTTGTTTGGTCAAGTCCGGTTTTTCATCTCATCGTAAATTTAGCAAGAAGTGGCCATTATTACATTGCTGACTCAATAAACTACACACCCGCCAGAACACTGCGATCATCAGATGCAGGTCTATTAACTGTGATTTTATAGTATGTCTGCACTTTATGTGCTCATTTCATCATGCATGTATTTTTATATTCTAAAACATGTTTTCGATGGACGAGAGTGAAAATGGAACGGCACCCGCCGCTATTTGTTTGTATATCAGTCTGTTCTTCTTCTCTGTCTTCCGGTTGTTGCCTATTTTGAATGACGAATACACACTACCGCCGGCTGCTGGTAAGGAGAGTTATTGCCACTCACGCATGCGCAGTTCGTACGTGCTCGGCTGTAGTAAAGCGGTGTATTTCAGTGTACACACGGCCAATACGCAGGAGAACTCGTCGATGGATCTGTCGGTGTCGGATGTCGGCGAGTTCTCTGGTGACTGCCTGGTGTGTAAGGGGCTTAAGAGCCCCGGCGCTTTTAACTCCAGGGCACTTAGTACAGATCGCGTTCACACCGGAGTACTTTTCCCTGAGGGAAGATTACGCAAATGAGCCGCTGACGTCACTTCTTCTTCTTCTGTTTTGGCTTTACTGGCAGGCCACAAACCACTTCACGGTGAGTACAGTAGGTGGCGGTATGCACCTTAAAGTTGTTTGCAATCCGCTGCAAAACAAGAGAAGAAGAAGAAAAACTTCCCGCGTATACTGCGACGCCCACCCACTCGCTGTACATTAGGCGTCTGTTTACCTTCCGACCTCAGACATGATGGAGATGGAGTCGACTGAAGTTGTACTGTTTGTGCTCATGTTATACAGCTTTGTAACTGAGTTAATGCAGCCTGAGCAACTTGCGTACAATCACAAAACAAGCCGATCACGAGTGGTGGTGGAGAACGCTTTTGGCAGACTGAAGGGCAGGTGGCGGTGCTTGATGAAAAGAAACTACTGCAAGATGGACAAGATCACATTCCAGGTGGCAGCATGTTGCATATTACATAACCTTTGTGAAAGTAATGAGTACAGGGACGAATGGACTGCCTTACCGGCGACCCAGCTTTATGAGGCATCTGAACAGCGTGTAAATTGTAAACATTTTGACAATAAAGAAGATCTTTTGTACAGTGATTTTGTTTCCCTTTTATTTTCCAGTCAAGACAGGCAACATTACAATAGGGTACAGTGTGGCAATATAATAACAATAAACTGTGCCAGGTGTGTTGTATGCACAGTAAATAAGCTCAGCAGCAAACCCACCGTTATTATTTATCTTCCTGAGACCCACTGCATCCGTCTGCCATAAACATACATGTTAGTTTCGGCCCATAGTGGACTCCATTTTGTGTTGTGTAAAATGGGGGGGGGAATTAAAAGTTGGCAAATCCCCATGTCCTCCTCAGAGGACAATCATAAAAACATTTAGTTTTAGGTCAAATAATATTTAAAATGATATAAATTATCATATTTGTGTATGTGCCCCTGCCATTCCTCCACAAGGTTGCAACATTGATGATAAATAAATGACAAATAAAGCTTTGCCAGTTTATAACCGATGAAACATGATGGTATCAGAATAATCACTTACATGTGATGTATAGGATGCTACGGTCACTAAAGATAAAGTGTCAGGAGAAATAAGCAAGCTACAGGATCTGTTTAACAGTAAATAGAAGTTCACATTTTTAATGTAAATAAAATAGAAGTTGTACATGTAAATTAACATTATCAATATAAAATAAAGTGTCAGTTGTATCAAGACTATATAATAACAGTAATAACAATAATATAAAATGAACTGGTGAGCATCTTGTCCTCCGTTTCCTGGGCCTTGGTGAACAGCACCATCTGATCCCCGTGCATAGACTCTTTCACCACGGCACGCCGGTCCTCCAACGCCTGGGCGGTGTCAAAGAAATTCGCATCCCGTGTCCGCTTTCCTATGAGGGGAAAATAAGCAAGATACAAGATCTGTTTAGTCGCCATGTAGTTTTACAACATACTAGGAATGTTTTTTTGGTATTTTCACAAATAGAATTAAGGTTTCACAAATCTGAAACTGTGTTATAAAGAATGTTTAGCCTCTCTGGGATAATCCAGTCCAGATTTGATGAGTCTAGGTATAGTGGTTTTAGATCAGGACCTGGTCTAATGTGGCCAGGATGCGAAAAAGCACTGAAATCTCCCTTTTTTGTATTTTCACAAATAGAATTAAGGTTTCACAAATCTCAAACTGTGTTATAAAGAATGTTTAGCCTCTCTGGGATAATCCAGTCCAAATAAATCGGCTATGCAGCGATTTAAGAGGTTCAAACACGGAGGATTGTGCTTCATGTATGCTTGAATTTAGTTTAATTTGTTGAGGCAAGTTTTCGTCCCGGAAGTCATGTGACCTCTAGCCCTGATGTTTACAATGTTTGTGTGAGACATTTGTAAATGCCGGTCTTGGCGAATACGTTTTCACGCTGTTTCATAATTGTACCAAGAAGGAAATAAACATGATTGTGAACATCAGTTCGATGCGTAACGTTCTTTCAAGACAAAGTTACAGTGTGTGTACCTTTGCGTTTGGTTGCTGGTAAGGGGGGCGAGCTAGCGCTGTGATCTAGAATGCAAAGCTCGCTTGTTTCCAATCCCGAGAGTTGTCCATCCTCGCCTGAAACAGACGATTAGTGCCATGAGTTAGTGAAGCAAATTACAGAAACACTACACAGTTATTCACAAGTCAAAACGTTTTCATACAGCCGAGAATATCTAGCTAGCTAGATGTAGCTAGCTCGGGGCCGGTGTTAGCCTATTCTGCCTAGCATGGCTAGCTTGATCTACTGAGCAAATAAAAGTACATCTGAGACCATTATTGTGCAGATTAAAACCCCAGTGCATGTAGTTGATTTTACCTTCGTCGTGGTCGTCATCGTTGGCCACTGAATCCGCCGTTTGTAGTCCTGCCCGAGTTTCTTTATTTTTAGCCGGTGTGTGCCGTGGGGCTGTGCACATTCCCAGGTCGAGTGAAAGCTACTGAACTGGCTTCAGTGCATTCCCTGGGTCGCGTCCTCAGCGTAGATCTCCAGAAGCGCCGACACCTCCTCATCATTTCTTGATGCTTGCCATAACTGCTTTCAAAAACAAACCCAATGCTCCGTCGGGATTTTGTAGCGAGGCAAAACAATGGCGGCTCAACACAACATTTCCACAGTTCTACGGGGCGTGGTTTGCAATTCGCCCAGCCAATCAGCACTGGGGCACTTTTGGAGCACTTTTCACCCACAGAAAAGTACGCTCTCTGAGCTGGCTCTAAAAATGGGGGTAAAAGTACCCGAGATTAAGTACGATTTTTGGTGTGAACGTGACATAAGGGGTACTCACGGAACTAAAACGCGAAAAGTACGGTGAAAGTACTCCGGTGTGAACGCGGCTAATGTGGCGGACCCTCCGCGCGAACGCGCAAACGGAGGGGTAGTGTGTAGGGGTAGGGTGTAGGGCGTGGTTTGGGATTGGGCCTATGTCACCCAGTTTTTCAAGAGAAAAGGTGGGTGTGGTCCATGAGTGGTGGAAATTAGTCTGTTAGCTAAGCTTAGTCCATTGTAAATAATAATTGTTATGTTGTTTTTTTTACTAAGCTGACATTAAGTGTTAATATCTATAAAGAAAATGCAGAGGTTTTTCATTTCACTGCTCTTTTAGCTGACATTTAATAAATGCAGGTACATTTTTAGCAGCTATTCATACTAAATCAGTTGTCCCTCCCCCTGGTGCCAGGACCAACAGATCCATCTTTAGGCTCAGCAGCCCTGCCCGCCCATAATGCTGAACCTGAACCAGCTTGTCTCCCAACTGAAGGAGGTGAGCAGCATTGTGTTGAATTACATGCCACTTAACATATCTGAAGGGAGACTGGAATACAATATATATATATATATATATATATATATCAAAACAAAAAGCTAACATCTCATTTCAATTACACATTTCAAACACAGTATTTTTCCACATATTTAAGTTATATTTCTTTGGATTTATGCATTCATGTTGAGAATGTTCCATTCAAAAATGTTATTATTAAAAAGGCATTTACACAAATAGTCTGATTTTGAATCAGTCGTGTGCTCTTTTTCTTTTTTTCTTCTCCTCAGAGGAACGGCTTCCTTCACTGATCCAGAGCGTGAGTAATGTCCCATCACTCTGACTCCACCCAGTGCAGCTTTGACTCAGTAGATTTAGAAGACTGAAAATAATCTCCTTCCTGAACATTATTCATGATACAAACATTTTTTGGTCTCGGATAGTTTTCTTACAGAAATAATCTGATCACGCCAAGTTAGGTACACATACTGTATGTTCTAAGCATCAATGTTATTTATGAATAGTGTTAATCATTTGTGTTACGTCTGTCTGGAGGGGAAATTATAGCACATTCTTCATGAGTTGTTTTTCTAACATTGAGAAAGAGAAATTCACAATACTGATGCAAAAATAAAGATAGTGATTCTTACTCTTTTATACCAAAATAAAAAGATGCAACTGGTTAAACTGCATCTCAGTTGTTAAATCACATGTTTCTACCACAGCCATTGAAAGAGTTACCTAGGAGGTCAAATAAAGTCATGAATCAAACACGCCGTTTATACAAAAAGAAAATGGTTTTGTGATGAATTGGATGAACAATATAAAGTGCCCTGATACGTTGTGGTGACATGGCTGATGTTCTCTTATCACATCCACTCTTGTAAAACACTGAAACTGACAAGATGTAAACCAAAATAATCTGTAATCATCCCAGCTGAGAAATCGCTCTTTTGCCCCATTAACATCTCCTTTGATTTTACCAGGTGGAAACGATGGCGTCTGTCATAGAGCTGCTTCTGGAAACACTGAAAGATTTGAGTGACCAGGATTTACAGAGTTTTCAGATGGTCCTGAGTCAAATTCAGTCTGGCAAAGGCTACCCAGACATCTCACCAAGGTGGCACGTGATGAGAGACAGGCAGGACATGGTGTTTTATTTGGTGCAAGATCACAGCCAGCACAGACTGCTGGAGATGACCACTGAGACTTTTGAGAAGATGAACAGGACTGATCTGGTGCAGAGGCTGTCACAAAGCAGCTCAGGACCCAAAAGTAAGACAAATATGACACAAAGATCTTTAAATCATCAAACTTGTTTATCCTAAGTTAATAAGCTCTGTATTCTTCTTTTTAAGTTATAAATAAAGATGAAACGTATATTTATAATGTATTTATATCCTAGTGTACAAAATGTGTTTTATGACTAATCAGAACAATGATTAATATTTTGGGAGAGGGTAAAATGAATTGAGTTGGTTTATCTCCACCTCTTTTCTCTTCAGAGAAACACTCAGAGGCACAGCGACCTGCAGTGATCCAGAAAGTAAGTAATGTCATCTGTCTGACTTTCTATATATGACCCAAACACATGATTGACTTATCTATGATGATCTGTCTGTCTGTCTGTCTGTCTGTCTGCCTGTCTGTCTGTCTCTCTGTCTGTCTCTCTGTCTGTCTGTTTGTCAAACACATCAACTAACCAGTTTATAAGGCAAGTTTATTTATATAGCACCTTTCAACACAAGGCAATTCAAAGTGATTTACAAAAATTAAAGACATTAAGAGCATTAAGAAACATATTATAAAATGATATCTAGAAACACTAATTTAAAAGCAATGATATAAAATGACATTTAAAAACACTCATTTAAAAGCAAAGATAAAAAGCAAAGATAATAAAAGTTACAGTGCAGTTTAAGATATGAATATTTCAATTAAAAGCAGCGGCAAAAAGAAAAGTCTTCAGCCTGGATTTAAAAGTAGTAAGAGTTGCAGCGGACCGGCAGGTTTCTGGGAGTTTGTTCCAGACATTTGGAGCATAATAACTGAACGCTGCTTTACCATGTTTAGTTCTGACTCTGGGGACAGAAAGCTGACCAGTCCCTGATGACCTGAGAGATCTGGATGGTTCATAATGTAGCAGGAGGTCAGAAATGTATTTTGGGCCTAAACCATTCAATGCTTTATAAACCAGCAGCAGTATTTTTGAAATCTATTATTTGACACACAGGAAGCCAGTGTGAAGACCTCAAAACAGGTGTGATGTGATCCACTTTCTTACGGACCGTCCACACAGCAGCGTTAAAAAAATCTTGGAGGTGGGCGTATCTGAAGTTTGGGGATTTTTTGCGAGCAAGGCACCAACAACCAATCACATGAATCTCCCGCCCCCGACATACGATGCAAAAAAGTTTGAAGTAAACTGGATATAAACTCCCCAAACAGGCGAAAACATACCACTGTCTCTGCCACCTCCCTCCATGCCTGGCTCCTCCGGTTTATATCCCGGTAGGTAAATAGGGACTGGTCATAAAGCACCGGGTGATTCCCTACCACTAATTTCTCCTCCATTTTTTGGAATATGAGGAAATTAACTGCGGTATGTCACTCCCAGCTTACACGCCGTTTGATTGGCTAGAGCTTGAACGGTCAGATTTGCGTACACGGGATTTGATTGGCTGACGCTTCCACCTCAGCCTCAAAAGTTGAACATTGTTCAACTTTGAATCCTGAAAATCCTGAAAATCTCCGCTCGCCTGCCCACAATGCAGTTCGGCGAAAAGTGAGGGAAAGTGACGTCACCCCATTCAAAGTGAATGGGCAGAAGCGTTTCAAGATTTTTTAACGCTGCTGTGTGGACGGTCCGTTAGTGTCAGTGAGGACTCGAGCAGCGGCGTTCTGAATCAGCTGCAGCTTTCTAATGGATTTTTTAGTGAGACCTGCAAAGACACCATTGCAGTAGTTGAGTCTACTGAAGATAAAGCATGGACAAATTTTTCCAAATCCTGCTGTGACATTAGTCTTTTAATCCTAGATATGTTCTTTAGGTGATAGTAGGCTGATTTAGTAATTGTTTTAATGTGACTGTTGAAACTCAGGTCAGAGTCCATGACTACACCTAGATTTCTGGCTTTATCTGTCGTTTTGAACATTGCAGACTGAAGCTCAGCGCTAACTTTTATACGTTCTGCCTTGGCTCCAAAAACCATTACCTCAGTTTTATCTTTGTTTAATTGGAGAAAGTTCTGACACATCCAGTCATTGATTTGTTCAATGCACTTACTCAGTGTTTGAATTGGAGCATAGTCTCCTGGTGAAATTGTTATGTAAATGTGGGTGTCATCCGCATAGCTATGGTAACTTATGTTGTAGTTTTTCATTATCTGACCCAGTGGTAGCATGCAGATGTTAAAGAGAAGAGGCCCCAAGATGGAGCCTTGAGGAACCCCACATGTCATATTTGTCAACTCAGATGTGTATTTACCTATAGAAACAAAGTTGTTTCTGTCCTTTGAGTAGGATTCAAACCAATTTTAGAACTGTTGCCGAAAGTCCCACCCAGTTTTCCAGTCGGTCTAGTAATATGTTGTGGTCAACAGTGTCAAACGCAGCACTGCGATCTAATAATACTAACACTGAAGTTCTGCCACTGTCTGTGTTTAAGTGGATGTCATTGAAGACCTTTACAAGAGCAGTCTCAGTGCTGTGGTTTGGACGAAAGCCTGACTGTGACACATCGAAACAGTTATTTAAATGCAAGAAATTACTCAACTGTTGAAAAACTACTTTTTCAATGATTTTACGTAGAAATGGGAGGGAAGCATCTAGATTATTCTTTTTTAAGAGCGGTTTAATGACTGCTGTTTTTAGGGCCTGTGGAAAAACACCTGAGTGAAGAGATTTGTTTACTATGAAGTAGATCTGAGGCCATGCAATTAAAAACATTTTGGAAAAATCCTGTTGGAATAATATCAAGGCAGCATGAGGAGGATTTCACAAGTTGAATAATGTCCTCTAGGTTTTTATCATTAATCTGATGGAATTGTGTCATGGTGTTTGAATTGATATTAGGTGGACACAGGGACAAAACATTTGCTGTACCTGATACAGAGGCACTGACTGCTTGTCTAATTTTCTGAATTTTGTCAGTGAAGAAGGAGGCAAAATCATTGCAGGCCCTGGTGGATAGAAATTCAGAGGCTACTGACACTGGGGGGTTTGTTAGTCTGTCAACGGTAGCAAACAAGGCACGTGCGTTGTTTTTGTTTTTGGCAATGATGTCAGAGAAGAAAGACTGTCGTGCAATTTTCAATTCCAAATTATAAATGCCAAGTCTCTCTTTATAGATTTCAAAATGAACCTGGAGATTTGTTTTTCGCCACCTGTGTTCAGCTTTTCAGCTCTTTTTTCTGTTTTCACGGTCATGGCCTTTCTCCATGGAGATATTTTCTTGCCAGTCACTTCCTTTATCTTAGTTGGAGCATTGGCATCTATAATCTTTTGAAGTTTTGAATTAAAATGATCTACTAGCTAATTTACTGAGATGTTAGTAGGGGCAAGTGTGGAAGAAAAATTCTGAGTAAACATTTCCCTAGTATTTTCAGTTAAATATCGCTTTGTGGTTATCTCTTTTTGAACATTTTTGTGAACAGAAATAGAGCTCTCAAAGAAAACACAGGAATGATCAGAGAGTGCAACATCAGTCACCACAACCTTAGAGATATTCAGACCCTTTGAGATAATTAAGTCCAGAGTGTGCCCCTTATTGTGCGTAGGCTCCGTCACATGCTGAGTCAGTCCATAGTTATCAAGAACACAAAACAGTTCTTTAGCCCCTCTGTCCTGGGGGTTGTCAACATGGATGTTAAAATCACCAACAATGACTAGACGGTCAAAGTCAATACACACTATAGAAAGCAGTTCATCAAAAAAGCTTGCACAGTATTTGGGTGGTCAATAGATATTTAGGAACAGAGCTCGAGAGGAGCATTTCAGCTGAAGGGCCACATATTCAAAATAAGCAAAGTTCCCATAAGATGTCTTCCTGCATTGAAGGGAATCATTGAACAAAATAGCAACTCCACCTCCTTTGTTATGCATTCTTTCCTGACTCATAAAACGGGGGGTTACGTATTGTAACCCTAGTTATATAAGCACAGGCGGGGCCCTCTACTGGACTCTATGGGTACTACCTTATCCCACGTGCATTCTCCCACTGAGACTTCTATAGACGTAGCCGGCCCAGGGCGGGCCTACCTGAATGCGCACGCATCACACCGTATAAAAGGAGGCCTCGCCTCCTGACTATCATCCTATACCTCTCTTCAGCGAGCGGAATAGAACAGACAGTGCCCTGAGTAGAGGGCTCCGTCTGTGCTTATATAACTAGGGTTACAATACGTAACCCCCCGTTATATCTCTCACAGGCTCCGCCCTCTACTGGACTCTAGGGGTACAGTGGGTGGAGCCCTGATGTATACGCGCACTGTCGTCCAACACCATTCCACCCTACTGCCCCTGACCGGCTTTTCTGGTCAGCAGCTGCTGCCCCACACTCTCCCTTAACCCGGTTGTTACCGAGGAGAAATCTGGGCTGCGGCTGACAGAGCACACCCTGCTGCGCTTGCCTCGCAGAAAGTGTGCTCAAAAAACAGTGCCGGGGGACCCCCCCCCCCCGCCCATAGACGGGTGGGGAGAGCCTCCTCGGCCCCGTATTTTTTTAACGCTGCTGTGTAGACGTACCGTAAGTGTCGCGCCGCTCCGGCCACCCCGAACTAGTAAACAACTCGGGTGCACCGACAGAGCAGTTAACTCGGACACTCTTTTGGCTGACGTTAAGGCAAGAAGCAAAGCTGTTTTCCACGACAATGCTTTCAGAGGGGAGAGCTCCAGAGGGCTCAATGGTCCCGAGGCCAGAGCCTCGAGCACTAGGGGCAGGTCCCACTGCGGGGTGGAGACGTGCACTACAGGGCGCAGTCTCCTAACCCCCTGTAAAAACCGCGACATCAGTGGTTGATTAAAGGCTGACCTGCCACCAAAATCCCTCATGACAGGACGAGATGGCTGCTGCATACACTTTCACCGTGGAATGCGCCAGCCCTCTGTCCACCAGTAAGTGTAAGAAGGATAAAATAGAGCCCAACTCACAAGATAGGGGCTATATTCCCCGCTCCTCACACCAATGCTGGAATCTCAGCCACTTTGGCCTGTAACAGGCTGTGGTGGATTCTGCTCTAGCTGCCTGGATAGACTGAATAACGCTGTCGGACAATCCACCCTGTCTCAGCCTGTCCCTCTCAGGAGCCAAGCCTGAAGAGGACGGCCCAGAGTGGGTAACGCCCCGATTGCACCTGCCCCTTGAGACATCGCCCCCCAAAACTGGGGGATCGCCCAGGGCTGGCCCACCTTCATCCGTGTCATTTCTGAGTACCACGGAGCCCCGACGCGATTCGGTGCTACCAGAATGACTGCCAGACGTTCTCGCCTCACTCTCCCCAGGAGAGGGAGAATGAGACGCAGCGGTGGAAAGGCGTATAGCAGCTTCCTTGGCCATGGCTCGTGTGCAAACGCGTCCACCCCCAAGGGCGGGTCGTCGCTCAGGGCCATGGAGAACCACAGGGCACAGTGGCTGTTGCGCCGGCTGGCGAACAGGTCCACTTCTGCTCTCCCGAACTGGGCCCAGACCTGCTTCACCACCTCCGGGTGAAGTACTCGCCTGGCAGGGGGCCGCCCCTCGACCTGTGGTCGGCCCCTCTGTTCTCCAGTCCCGGGACATGGAGGGCTCTCAGAGATAACACCACCTCTGAGGCCCATAACCACAGCTCCTCCGCTGTGGTCAACAAGGAGGCGGAGCGGACTCCGCCCTGCCTGTTCATATAAGCCACTGTGGTGCTGTTGTCGCTCCTAACCATTACATGTCTCCCCTGAATTAGGGGCATGAAATGCCGGAGGACTAACACTACTGCCCGTAGCTCTAGGAGGTTGCTGTGTCGAAACTCTGTCAGAGCCCAGCGCCCACCTATAGCTCTCTTCAGGCAGGTCCCTCCCCATCCTGTTCCGGACGCGTCCGTGAACACTGTGATGTAGGAGGTCACCCGTCCCAGTGGAGACCCCCTCCGGAGGTGGTCCGGAGACCCCCAAAACCGGAGGTTGCCCCCACTGAGGGGGGGAGGGATGGTCACCAGCCGTCGTTTGTGCCTCCAAACGCAGGCTGGGGAACCACCTCTGCAGGCGGCGCATATGTAGTAACCGGCGGGACCACCATGTGAGCAGCCGCCATGAGACCCAGAGTCTGCATGACAGTTAAAGCTGTCACTGTTGACCCCTGTCGCAGCCTGTGCACCGCCCTGAGAAGGGGCGCACGTCTGCTCTCTGGCACGCAGCGTGTCTGCATCGAGCACCACACCCAAATACAACGCCTGTTGGCGAGGTATTGGGGTGCTCCTTTTTCCCAATCGATCGCAAAACCTAATTTGGTTAGGTGTGTGATCAACTGTGCTGTGCAAAACATTGCCTGTTCCCGGGACCCAGCCATGACTATGAGGTCGTCTATGTAAAATAAAACTCTCATGCCGTGTGCGCGCAGCGGTTGAGGCGCCGTGGCCACACATTTGCTGAATGTGCGTGGGGATAGGGAATAACCGAACGGCAGCCTGTTGTATTCGTAGGCTATTCCCTGGAAGGCAAAACGCAGATACTTTCTGTGCTCTGGAACAATTTCCACATGAAAGTACGCGTCTTTCAGGTCGATGGTGGTGAACCAATCGCCTGGCTGCACAAGCCCTAGTAACTGTTTCACAGTTAACATGCGGAATTTCCTGCTGGAAATATGACGATTCAGGCCCCGGAGATCTAGAATAGGTCTGAATTCCCGTGTTTTCTTGAGACCGACCCAAAGAGCCCCTCCGTGGACACGGGGGCTCCGAGGAGATCTTCTCGGTCCTTCTTAGATAGGGCCGTGAGCCCTGGCCACACGTGACGAGACGCCACTGTGGCCAGGGAAATCATCCGCCCTGCTGCGGTGGCCACGACATAAATCAGATTACTCATCTGCGAACAGCGTGGTCCGAATAATCGCTCTCGTCCTGAGACGGGAGGGCGGGGGCGTCTGCCTGAGGGGTGATCAGGAAGACGCCAACACGCCAAGATTATCGGCCGCAGCCGCCATCTGCGTACCGAGCTTGAACAACTTATCCAGATATTCCAGGTGTCTCGGTCCCGGGGCAGCGGGGGCAGAGGACGTTTACCCTCCGCCCAACCAGCCGCGGAAGCAGATGAGCCGCCAGGCTCTCATCGAGGGGGGGGGCACACCTAGACATGTCGTGTCCGAGCGATCCACCACCTTAACGATACCCGCCATGGCGGCTATCGGGGCCTTCGTTTTAAATGGCTGCTGCCATGTCGCCTCCACACACCGCCATACCTCTGGCAGCTGGGGCGAAAAAGGATGATCAGGCGAGGCCTCCTTTTATACGGTGTGATGCGCGCGCATTCAGGTAGGCCCGCCCTGGGCCGGCTACGTCTATAGAAGTCTCAGTGGGAGAATCCACGCGGTATAAGGTAGTACCCATAGAGTCCAGTAGAGGGCGGAGCCTGTGAGAGATATAACTGAAGTTGGGAGGTGTTGATTCGATAAGAACAGCTGCACTGTTATTTTGTTCAATCCAAGTTTCCGTTAAAAACATAAAATCGAGATTGTGCTCAGTGATAAAATCATTGATTAAAAACGTTTTTCCTGCCAAAGACCTGACATTTATTAAAGCTAGTTTAAGTTAGTTCAATACACTATCAGTCAGATTTTTTGTGACAAGCTGTGTCTGACATGGAATCACTGCTAAATTTGATAAACTCACACAAACGTTTGAGCGCTTCCTGTTTCTAAGCTGATTCACCGCTCTCAATCTATTACCTATCAACACAGATATCGGCAAAGCTACTGACAGGTAGGGCCCCGGCATGTCCTGGAAAGAGTTGAGAGTGCCATACGCCCTTGAGCCTGGACCCAGCACATATCAGTAAGAGTTTGTTGCGTTTTGTACACACACATCCTTATCAGTCTTCGGAGACCGCAGATGCTGTCTTGAAGGGCGCGGGGGTGGTTGACGTAGGCACGGTGAAGAAGATGGGGGAGATGGTGCGCGTCTCTGCTTCGGTGATTGTGGTGGGCGTCGTTGAGGGGCGGGGGTAAAGGACATGCTGCCAACCCTACGTATCGCCTTCATGCGGTCATTGATCTCCAGGAAGGACTTTGTGCCAATCTCCTTCATGTGGTCAAACTCAAGGAGGGTGGGCTAGGGTGAAAGGGTAAACGGAGAGTAGAGAGAGCTGGGGGGTGAAGGAAGAGTATCCTCAAAGGTGATAGGGGGGGGGTGAAGGGCGGTGGAGACGCCTCCATTTGTGTCATAGGTTTTCCATAATGAAGACATTCCTCAGGCGGGTGCAGTAATACTTCTTCAAGGTTTTCTGCGAGATGTGTTGTGTCTTTCTCTTGTTTTGATTCCTCTTGCCGCTTGTCCTTGGCAGAGGGAATAGATTGATGACGCAGGCAGTTGAATATGTTAGAGATAAACAATTTCACTCCTGACTTGTTCAGGCAAACACCATCTGCCTTACAAAGATGTCTGTGGTCCCAGAAAAAGTTAAAATTCTCAATAAAATGGACAGAATGGTCAGTACAGGCAGTTGAAAGCCACGTGTTCAGTGCAAACAATCTGCTGAATCTCTCCACTCCTCTTCTGACTGGCGGTAGAGGGCCACTGATGAACACCTCCGCATTTAGAGAGCTGACAGTTTCCAACAGACATTTCAAGTCTTCTTTCAGCACTTCTGACAGTTGTTTCACTGCAGTACCAGGCTTTAGCTGTTGCTAGGCCACACTACTATAAGACTGAGGTCGTCATAAAAATATTGAAATATGGCTGAAACCCTCCATCTATTTATGAATAATAACTGTCCCAGTGATCAGTTAATTTCCAGGAGCCGCTGCTCGAAGTTTTCAGAAAAGAAAAATAGGAAAATCAGCATAAAAAATAAGCAGAGGCAAGAGCAAGCAGAAAAGCGTCTGCACTGTAAGAAAGCAGGAAGATTTTAGTTAAAGGGAAACATTAACAGTGATGAGATGCAAATATGCACGTGTCTAATGAATGTATTGATTATTTCAGGTAGCAACAATGGCAGCTGTTAAACATCTGCTTTTGGAAACTCTGTATGATTTGAGAAACGAGGATCTTGAGAAATTCAAGCAGACCCTGGATTTAATTGTCTCCAAGAAGAAGCCGAGATATTTTTCGTTGATTTTGAGTTCCTCAACAAGCAGAGCACAAATAGTGGAAGAGATCATTCAGATCTTCGGCCAACAGTGTGTAGAGATAACCATGGAGGTTTTGAAAGACATTAACAGGACTGATCTGAGGCAGAGGTTGAGAAAGCCCAGCTCAGAACTCAAAGGTAAGACAAAGAAAAAAAAAAACTCACATCGCTTACATTTTATATTTCAGTATGAAAAAGATCTGTAGTCATTAACAATATGAAGTATAAAAAAACATGGGTCAGGAATCTATACAAACATTAAAGAAATAATTAAAATACCATTAAATGCCACCGACATAGTCTCAACCAGAAACAAAATGTTTTAAGTTGAAGTATTTTAGTTTTGTTGCTGGGATCTTGTGTGTTAGACATTCACTTTATTTTCTCTCTTCAGAGATGTACTCTGTGGATGAACATCGACCTGCACAGTCCGAGGGAGTGAGTCTGACTTTACACATCACAGCTTTCATTCAATAGATGCAAGTTGTTAACCATATCCATCTTGAACATAACAATGATGATGCAAACCAAACCATTTTTAAGGTTGATCTCTTCTGTCAAAATGATTTTTCTTCCACTGATGTTCTGATCAGATTAGCAGACTGAAGTCTGAACACTCATATACAAATGTGCATTAGTCAAGAAAAAAGATAAACACATTTAATATAACAGATGTTAGTGTGTCTTGAGAGATCTTAGAAGAAATAACACCTTTTCTTACACATCCGTTTAATTTTTCAGGCACAAATTGCAGCAGAGAAAGAGATCCTTTTGAAAACTCTGAAGGATTTGAGTGGCGATGAGCGCTACAGATTTCAGTGGTTGCTGCCGTTCACGTACTTCCAGAAGAGCATATCCTACCTCTCTTATGGATATCCCAATTGGGCAGAACGTACACTCCAGCTGGTGGATCAGATGGTGGAGACATGTGGTCCGCAGTCTGTGGAGGTGACCAGGGAGGTTTTAATGGACATGGACAGAACTGATCTATTGGAGAGATTATCAGAGACTATCTTAAGACTCAAAGGTAAGAGAAAGAAAACAAAAACTGCTACATCACACAGAAGAGTTCATAGTAATGAGTTTTGTATTTGTTGCAATGCTTTTGTATTTTCTTTTCTTTATTTTAAGGAATAATTAACCTACAAAATGACCAGTTTTTCTGTATTACAATTACTCACCCTGAGTTCTCTCTAATTCTTGAAGACATCTGTTTTCTTGCATGCCTCCACTGTGAGTTACAAATCAAAAAATGTAGACATTTCTATGAATTGAAGTAAATGGGGGGCGTGTTTAATAACAGCACAACTATCCCAAAACAACCTCACTGTTTGAAACACTTTTGCATTAACAGTCTCATACTTTGAAATGCGCTACTCTTCTGCACACATCAGAAGTAGTGAGCTAGTGCCAGGATAAATGAGACTTTGATTATACCTTTCCTTTAAGAAGTCGTTTATAATCTGATTTTGAATCAGTCATGATGAGGCTTTTCCTTGGTTTTCTCCTTAGATAAACATCCGTCCAAACCTCCAAAGGAAGTGAGTCATATCACATCAGACACACTTTACACGACACGGCTCTCATTTAGGTTTTACAGTTTGCAAAATGTTGACAGTAAAGAGGTGGAAAATGTTTTCAACTAGTGGATATATTATATTTAATTCCCTCTGATGACATTGAATCCATTAGGAAGTAACCGTGGCATCACTGGAGGTGAAGCTTCTGGAAACACTGGAAGATTTAAGTGATGGAGAGCTCAAGAAATTCAAGCGTGGCCTCCAAAGAATCTCAAGTCAGAGATTAAAGACGGCAGGGAGAGTGGAGATTGTGGATCTGATGGTGGAGATCTACGGCCAACAGTCTATGGAGGTGACAATGGAGATTTTAGAGAAGATGAAAGAAGACGATTATGGTCTGGAGCAAAAGTTGTCAAACATCACTTTAGGATCCAAAGGTGTGAAAAGCCAAGTGTATTTTTATTGTATTATTTCAAGCTTCCAAAAAGACATCACTCACCAGTATTTCCTGCATAACAAATTTGCTCTATTGCTACATCAGCGCTATGTAGCACATAGTGCTAAAGGACATAGAAGTTACCATATGATTTAATTTACATTTTTTTAAGGAACATCATTAAAAAAAATCTTGTTTCTTCACAAGGGCCTTCAAGAAGCTTGGAGCTTGAGGGCAGTGAAAAAATGATGGTAATTCCTTACATTTTATTTATGTATTCAGTTATTTGTTGATCATGTATGGGTTAATTTATGTGATTTTTCCAAAAGTCACGTCTTCACTTATTTGTAAAAATGATTGCCTCCGCAGAAGGACTCCAGTGGCTGGACTAAACTTGAACCTGAGGTGAACAGTACAGATGAAGATGAGGCATCAACTTACAGGTACAAATAGTTTCCTAAATACTGCATATTATCAAACTGGAAATATAGTAAACACTGAAGCTTCGGTCTTTGGATTTCTTCACAGAGAGAACACTAAGATCTGCTACAAATATTCCCCCAATAGTTTTAATGCTACATTTTGTACCAAATACAAACTCTGTATTTTTTTCGTTATATTTTAGCCTAAAGTCTGAATCGGGAAACTTTGAATGCAGTGTCTCTGGCTTGCGCTGGGTCTGTCAGGAAAAGGTCAGCTTTAAGTACCAGTTTTGCTCTTCGGAGGAACCCATGAAGAGGATGGAGATGATGAAATACATGCTTGCAGGTCCCCTGATAGACATCACAGTGATTTCTGGGAAGTTATTTGAAGTGTACCTGCCACACTGGATCTGCATAGGTAAGTGATCATGGAGGAAAATAACAAAATAATCATTGCAATTGTTTTATTCACATTAATTGTTTATGCTTTGTGCTATGCAGATGACATCCCTGAAATATTTCAAAAGTTTGCAGTCCTGCACATAGATGACTGTGGAGATGTTGTGGAAAAAGTGTCTGAAGTCACATCGTCCCATGTCAAGCTGTCTGAACCAGTTTTCTCTATAAGAGCCGTCCTGATGAAAATGGTTAATTTGTGGATTCCAACAAAGATACGCTGTAACGTGTTGATTTATTCAAAAGCCTATCCATCCTGCACCGTTCTTCATGTTTACCTGACCAAGGACGATCCTGCTCTTAAAGAGGTTACTGAATATCTTACTGTCACACATTCAAAATGAAATCAAAACCTACAATGGAGTATTTGGGCTAAATTGGGAAAATAACATCTTTCATTCTTAAAGTAGTCCTGTTATGAGAGTAAAGTCATAAGTGAGGGAAAACATTTGAAGGAAATATTATCTGAAAAGGGTCCTATTGTATGATTTTAATACAATTATTTCATTTCAAACCTTTATTTATCCAGGTGTATCCCATTGAGATCATTGATCTCTTTTTCAAGGGAGACCTGCTCAAGTAGGTTCCACATGAAACATAAAAACAACAACAAAAAGGACATCATACAGCATCATTACAGGAATTACAATTTACATAACTATCCACATGAACAGGTACCAACAGCTTCCGATTGAGTAGCATCCAATCGAGCTTTAAAAACATTTAGTGGCACCAGATTGCTCAGTTTCCATTTCAATTGCAGACTATTCCAAGACAGTGGAGCTGCGCATCTAAATGCTATCTTCCCTAAGACAGTCCTAGCAATCAACTTCAAATCAACACAAACATGAACACAGCACCACACACAGTGAATTCTAGTCTCTGCCTTTAACCCATCCTTAAACAAGAAGCAGTCGACTGCTATATTACAGTGCCCAGTGTGGGGCTCTGGTGCCTTGCTCAAGGTTACCTCAGCATGACCAGGAGACCAACTGCCACCTCACAAAGTATCAGTCCCCACTCTTCACTTGATCCATTCAGGGACTTGAACCTGCAACCCTCTGGTCGCCAAGTCCCTACAAACAGAGCTAGTTCCGTTTGCAACATGACTCTCAATGATTGATACATGGTTGACATATAACCTTATACTTATCATTGTGTTATAATGTGTTCCCTGATAATACTTATCAAGCGAGATATCATTTAGTTTTTTAGATTATCACTCAAGGGAAAGTTCTGCTCCATGGAGAGCTGCTTCAAACAGCAAAGCATTTAAGCCAATTTAACTGTTTCACATGTTGCTATAAATGTTAAATACAATCACAGACGTGCCTCAGACCTATTCTGTGGTAATTGTCGATGACGCTGCAGCTTGGTTTGATCTCACTTATTTCGTTACTCTCAAAACGTTAAAGAAATTTTTTCTCGAAGGTATGACTTTTTATCATGACCTTTTCCTCAGTGGCCATTCTGAAATAACACAATCTAAAATAAATATATATTTTTCCAGATACTGACCCTAATACTCTGTTGTTAAAACCTTATTGTTTCATGAATGCATTTTAAACACAAATGTTTCTTACTGTAAACTTGAAGCAGGGTTGTGCTTAGATTGATTTTTTCCCCCAGACCATCGACAAGAAGAAAAAAGACTTCAGATTTATCGAAAAGCCATGCCCAAACGAGGGCCTGACCCTGCACCAAGATTTCAACCTCACAGCAGACATAACAACGGACAAGATTTTCCCAGAGGTACAGTTTGCATTGCCAGTCGGCAATCTGATCTGTTCATTGTGAATATTATTTTATTATGGTTCATGTAGATGGGCCAGGTTCCTGGTATTGCTAATGCTGACTAGACTAGAATGTATGTGACACTAATTAAAATGGGACAGTTATTCATTTTGTAAATAATACCTGTGTCAACCTTGCAGTGAGACGTCAAAATGGCTACTGTTTGATATATCAATATCAAGGGAACTCACAAATAGTCAGAACCTCAAGATCTCCACTAGACTTAAACATCCCACTGAGGTGAATTATCTTTGCACCATCAGCTTTTTAATTTACAACCACCAGGCATTGGAATATGTTTCGAGCTGAGCGTAAAATATGCTGGTATTTTTATTTCATACATCTGCACTTTTGTTGATTATTCTGTAGTCCATTTACTGTTGTTTGTCTTGTCTTACCCCGGCTGATATCTCACTAAATCCACTGTTTTAATTGTTCCCTATATTGCCCCTATGCCCTGTAAGGTGTCCTTGGGTGCTATGAAAGGCGCCCCCCAAAATAAATGTATTATTATTATTATGTTTTTATCTACCCAGGGACTGCAGATGGAAATTAGCTAATAGCTAAATTCTACCATACATCATCTCTTCCCTTTTTGTAATTCATGTATTGTTATGCATGTTCCTTGTTTAATAAAGATATAATAACAAGATATGCCATACAGACAGAAGAATTAGCTATGGTTCAGTCGCCAAAATCTGTTAATCTAGGGGAGCGAGTGTGAGAAAATTGATGCTTGTAATTTACAGATCAAATTGTGGACTTAGTAAAAAACCGGCATGCATATACCATCAAACTTAAGTTCAACAA